CGCATACTTGATAAAAAAAAGTAAAAAAAAGAGGCATTCGTATCATTAGAGACACTAAATTTATTCATTATATGATGCATCAATGCTTGATTAATGTAAATTTAGATATGTACATATTTTTCAGAAAAACAAAATCCTGGGTGATTTAAAATTTATTTAGTACTAACAATTGCGCAAACGCATCATTTGTGAACAAATTTGGTGGTAAGTGGTGACTCTAGCATTATTTATATATATCTATCTTATAATGTTTAAGTTTCTATATGCATGGTAGTAAATTAGTACCCACAGCAACTCCAATGGGCTTCTTAAATGGGCTCCTAACAAAAATATAGGGAGAAGTTTGGAAAAATTCATCTCCAATCACATCTCTATTATGCTCTAAGATGGCAAAACCTCTAAGAGCTCCTTAGGGCATCTCTAACCGAAGGAGAGCCAAAAGACTCCCTTTAGCCTTATAGCTTTGCAAGAAATTATATTTTAATGAAAATTTTCATGCCATATTTTATATCATTTCCAACCGAGGGGGCCATAGGCCAAACATAGCCCTTTGATAAAAAACCATCTTCAACCAAGGAGGCCAAAGGGCCATAGGCCAAACATAATTTATTATTTTAATTGAATTAATATGGTTACTTAAATTAAACTACCATATTAAAATAAGGTTTTCAGACATATTTTGAGTGCTACTTGTCGCCAAATGAATAAGCCTCCGGATTTCTTATTTTTATATAATCTCAATAATTTTTTTAATATGATTTCGAGTGACATGTGTCGCTAACATGAGTAACTCTCCAGATTTCTTATCTTTATGTAATCTTAATAATTTTTCGGATTGGATTTCGAGTGACACGTGCCGCTAAAGTGAGTAACTCTCCAGATTTCTTATCTTATGTTATCTTAATAATTTTTCATATAGGATTTCAAGTGCCACGTGTTGAGATATAATTGGTTGTGCAAATTTTAGATAGGATTCTTATTTACATGACACTTCTTATCTTTAGCTTCCAATGTTAATAAATTGGCTGGATATTGGGGTAGAATTCACACACCTCCAAACGCCTTCACTTGTTTAAGAACAACCCTTGACACTATCTTTCGAGACCCATCAATAAGCCCTGCAAAGAGCTTCATCTTCTTTTCGGGTCCAAACCTTTCCTTTCATTGCAGATGTAGCCATTTGAAAATTATTGAAAAAATTAAAGGAAATATTATTGGAAGAGGTAAGAGAATAGAATGTAAAGAATTGAAATAAAATGATGTAAAATAGTATGGAATGGTGAAAAGTATGTGAGAAATTGTGTAGGAATGGCTTAGGTATTTATAGGAAAAAAAAAGTAAATAAAAAAAATCGTCAAAAAAAAAAAAATCAAATTCCAACGGTAACCTAACGGCAGCATGACGTCAGCTAGCTTTTGCTAGCTGACGTCAGGTAGTTGTTGGCATTCAAATGGGCTGAGCTGGAAGGCTGGCAAAATGTCAAGCTTGACATTTTGGCGCTAGAAGTCTAGCAAAATGTCAAGTTTGACATTCTAGTGCTGGAGAGCTGGCAAAATGTCAAGCTTGACATTCTGGCACTGAAAGGCTGGGCTATAGAGCTGGTAGGTTGGCTGCTCTTGGCCAGCCCTTTGGCCAATTCCCCCATTTTTGGCTGCATGGGGACCACGAGCCTTTTGGCCTAACCCTCAGTTGGAGATGGTTTTTGTGTCAAAACAGGCTATTTTTAGCCCTATGACTATTTGGGCGAGTCGGTTAGAGATGGTCTAAATCTAGTGAATGAGAAAGGAGCTCCTAGCATTAATTATTACAATTTTAATAATATGAAGGGAGTCCAATATCCTAGTGGATAAGGGTGTTGGGTTCCTATCTGTGTGTCTTGGGTTCAAAACTCCCTCTCCCCTAAGTTAGTGTAATAGTTTTGAACTCTTCTCCCTCCGCTTAAAATACAATTTTAATAAATTTTAAATAAAAATAAGTGGTCATTTACCACAGTGGTGGAATAGAGTTGAGACCTTGCATGAGGGTATAAGTTCGAACTCTGTCGGTGACTAATCTAACAAAGTCTATATATCGTTTGACCAAAAAAAAAAAATTAATAAAAATTTTAATCCTATAGTTCACAAATCACAATTATCATGACTTTCTAAAATAGAGAGTATGATCGGAGTTTAAATTTTATAAGGAGTTTGTAAAATAACTTTTTAATTTTTTAGCTAAAATTTAACTTAAAAATAAAACATGATTGGAGATGCTCCAATATAATCTGTCGGTTTTAGCTAAATTAAAAAAAATGTGAATTGGGCATATTTGGGTGCATTCAGCAAGTCCAAATCCAAATATCACAAATTTTTTACAAGCCCAATATCATATTGTTTATCTGGTCTGGCAACCTTGATCCAGCCCAAAAATTAACTAATCACTGTGTGGGCCATTTGTATTAGGACATGAATGGGCTTCTATTGGACCTTTCAGAAATGACTTGGCCCATTCTAATTAACTCATAAAATGACCAAGATATAACCAACCAACTATAAATTGCATGTGCGTGGATACCCAAAAATAGGGGACAGAATAATAAGCTAGTTGTTGTTGCCTATTTTAGTGAGGGAAAGAGAAGGGCGCGGCTGCAGTGGTGGAGGAAAAAAAAGTTTAGGAAAATTGTAATGTATTTTTTTTTGTGTGTTAAACAATAGGAAGAAAAAAAATTGCTCACAAAAAACACAAAGTCTAATGGGAAAGAATCACCTATATTACATAAGAATCCTATCATAACTCTACCTAGTAGTTACACAAACACATAACATCAAATATTAATTAGAACACTTTCCCTTGAGTACTCGGAGAAACGTTGAGGAGACTTTCTCAAAAGTGAGGCTCTAGACTCTCTGTCACCTCATTTTTTTGGCACAATGTATTATAATGTTGGCACGGGAATTGACGTTTAAAATGTGAGGTGGCAGAGAGTCTATAAAGAGTTCACTTTTGAAAGAGTCCCTTTAGCATTTCTCAAATACTTAAATAGTAGTATTAGCTCTTTAGGTAGGACATTACAGTAGTTGATGAAGTTACCTTGCATGCATTTATATAGAATACGCGAGTCTCAAATAGAGAACTGCACTTGAGTAAATCTCACAAAATTTGATTATGGTAAAGCGCAATGTGGGACAAAACATATAATCTAAGAAGAAAAGTGAGTAACTGCAATAAGTCAAAACTAAAGTCTTCTAGATGCAAGTAAAACGCCCACAAGGGTAAATAGATGCCTCGTCAAAACTTGGTCAGGCAACAAAAACTCAATGGGGTAAAAGAATCTTGATCATAGGGAAAAGAGTGCACTAAGGAAAATAAAGTATGCTTCAGAATACTCCCCTGAGTTTGACAAAACTCTCCTTGAGAACTACAAGCGTTGCAAATCAGACAATTCACTTATGCCAATTCACTGAACAAACTTTTGAAAAGTAGACTTCGGTAATGACTTGGTAAAGTAGTTGGCAAGGTTGTTTTGGGAACGTATATGCTTGACTTCAGTTTATGATGCTCTTACCACTGATGGGAGAAGAAGAACTTCAGCACAATATGTTTGGGTTGTCTTCTTTGATGTATCCCTTTCTGGTTTGGTCGATACAAGCGGCATTGTCTTCATAGATCATTGTATGTACATCAATGACGGAAGGAAGTCAGCAAGTGTTCTGAATATACTCAACAACAGCTCTCAACCAGAAAAATTCACTGTGGCCTCATGAAGGGTTAGAATTTCAAAATGGTTTGAAGAAGTTGCAACTAAGGTTTGTTTGGTTAACTTGAAAGATATTGTGATGTTTCCAACGTTAAAGACATGACTAGTTTGAAAACGTGCCCTGTGCAAGTCATATAAATAACTTGCATTAGCATATCCAACAAAGTAAACATAATTTTGAAAAGAATAATGCTAGGGAGACCAAATTTAGTTGACCAAATTTATAAACTAAATTTGCAAACCAAATGATGTGTCACCAACAAGAAATATACATATTAATCAACACTTAAATAATAAACCAATCATCAACAACCTTATCATTTGGTTTACAAAATTTAGTTTAAAAATTTGGTCTCTTTAGCATTACCCTTTCAAAAAACCAAGGGGGTGGTCTCTATTTTGAGTTGCTTAGGGATAGAATAAGCCCAATCCCTAGTACTTTTGAGGTAACAAATGATGTCTTCAACACCATTAATCTCAGTGTCCGTGTGTTGGTGTGTTGCTATATTTTGCTAAAAGATTAATTGCGAAATAGATGTCTAGTTTAAAGCACTAAACTAAATACAAAAAAGCGCTAATTACGCTCAGATATGAAACTTCAACACAAAATGAGAGTTTTGAGTTTATTGGTAGATAAGACGTGATATCATGTGAGAGGTTGGACAAGCACATCAAGTATTCGACCTCGGATTCTATCGACATTTCAGAATCACACGAGCACAGCTAACCTCCATCATGGTCGTCTTGTTTTCTTTCTTTATTAATGCTCTCTCTTTCTCTCTCTCTCTCTGTGTTTCTCTTTGTTGGGTGTTAATTACATAATCCCACTAGCGTATCCGGCTTGTTTACTCTATAAGTAAGGTTCTGACTAGTTACTTCTGGCCATTCAACACCAATCAGAAATAAGATACACCGTAAGCCAAAAACAAGTAAAATGAACGTAAAAGGAAAAAATTAAGATAAAGGGAAAAAGGGGAATTTTTTTTGTGTGCTGCATATTTCTTTACATGTTTGAATTTGAGTAGACGAGAAGGGGAGAGAGAGAGAGAGAGAGAGAGGAGGTAGAGGGGAAGTTAAGAATGAGAGGCACGTGACATGCACCATACCATTCACTTCCCTAATTTCTTCCTGCGCAATGTGTCACCCGTGAGTCAAAGTCAAATCACCTCTGTCACGTGTCAAATGTAGCTCAATCCCATATGTTCCCACTTTCACACGCTTCAACCCCTCTCATCAGATATTTATTTATTATTTTCATATTTGATCAATTAATATATGATCATCTCTCTATAAATTAAGCCCCTGATGCTTGTGATAAAACCAGGCTAGGCTAGCACACATCCTCTCTGCCCAGATCAGAGGTACTACTTGCTCTTCTTTTTATTATCTTCTGCGTTTTTTTATTAATGGACGAAACATCTTCTGCGTTCTGCTATTTGTATTTTACTTAATTTGGTTACTTTATAAGTACCATACATATTCTGAGTACAATTTTGCACCAGATGGATATAAATTTCCAGCCGTGCAGAATCTGAAAGAAGAGATTCTATGCTATTTTTATACATGGGTGAGTACTTTCCGTGCTGTGCTTGTCATGCGAGCAGCCCTTTCTTGGATTGCCCTTTGTTTCGTTGTCTGTTCGACCTTGAAATATATATAAAAACCCTAGCTCGAATTGTCTTGCATAGTTATAGGATTAGAGAATATTCAGCTTCCAGGACCACTTTCTTTTTTTCTTTCGTGAGTAACCAGATTTGTTTATGTGTCGATCAACTTAATTGATTAATTACTATAATTGGTTTTGGGTTTTCTCATACATAATCTTACCTGGAAAATGTGCCCACCCTCCATGAATTTTATGAGGCAAACAAATTGACTAATAATATGATTTGCATGAATTACATGTGTGCATTTTATGTGTTGTTTGGTAGATGTACAGCTTTGCATGTGAATTTCAGGTACAGTGAGAATTCCAAAACGCTAGTTGGGTACATATATATGTAGATATATAGCTAGAGTGATAGAATATCCATTCAATTTCACCCTCTAATGTTATCAACTTTAGTCTAATTGAAATTTTGGTTCATGAACTAAAAGGTCATGAGTATTGGCCTTTGAACTTGTCACAATATAGAGCAATGGTCCATTTGAGTAACCTATTATAAATTTCATCCAAAATAAAGAGTTTAAAAGGTAAAATACTGGATGGATATTATAACAGAGTTACCCACAAAGACTTTTGCTACAAATCGTAATAAGTAATTTAGAGAGAAATACTCACGAGTTAAACCATATATTTGTGTATAAGCTAGTTTTAATAGGAATATGTCTGTATTTACTTCATCTTAAACAATATATAATTGAATTAATGGGTTATATTGCCTTTCTTATGACATATGGAGCGTAGCATATTTTTACACAACTGAAATATGGACTGCTAATTAACGTTGAAGGCAAGGTTAAGATTCTAGCACATATAGATGGCTAGAGTGATGCATGCAATTAGTTTTGGCCCTTTTCCATGATCGAGGGTCAATGGCAAGGTGAAAATAAGGTGATGTTGGAAAATATGAACTCTAGGTCTCCTCCTCCATACAGTTAAGTAATTTACCATACTACAGTTCAAATAACTTGATCGATTCCCTCTCTACCTTAAAATTTGAGAAGGTAACTAGAAAATGGCTTATTGTATATTAGCTAATTAAGGGTATGCAAATGCAAGGTTGATCTGACAATGAATATGAGGTTTATGCAAGGGACTGTTCGCTTGACAAGGTTTTGCATGGAATGTGACACCCGAATCGATCTCCAACCCTCTCTTCAAATTGTCTCGATCTGTCAGTTTTCTAATTGTCCCCATTACTGCCACACCCATAACTTTCTTCACCGAACATGGCGTACACCAGCCCAGGCAGCACCTGGTATCCGGGTCTGATCTCTCTTTCTCTCTCAAATAACTGAATGCTACTACTGAATTTTATAAACTGACTATATTGGAATGCACAATAACAGTTCCTAATTTAGTCACAAGGACTTATAATTGATCACAAAGTTGGATCAAGTATAATCTTCTCAACCCTACTTTTAACTACAATTGAGTATACAGATGAGCTTATTGTTTATCTTTATTTCCCGTATGGCTAAATGTATAATAGCTGATTTAATTTGTTTTCAATGACCCAAGCAAAGCCCATGGATGACACGATACAAGCACTCTGGTCTTGGCTGGCATAAACAGGCCAATATGGTAAGTAACTGGTGTGGAGCAAAAAATAATTCAGAAAATTCTAGAGCTGACATGTGGACTTTTATTCACAATCGACGAGATGTTCTTTATTAAATTGACGAGGCCCACATCCACTCCACGTGCAGTTCAATCACGAACTAAAGATATAACTAATAACCGACCTTTAAGCTGTCCTCATTGAAGACAGGTCGGCCCTAGCTATTCTACTAGGCATCATATGTTCATTGTCCCCGTGCCTCCCCATTACAACCCCACCCCCCCCGCCCCCCGCGCCCCCACCCCCCCTCCCCAAAAAAGAAAACGCTGAGGCATCATATGTTCATTGTCCCCGTATGTGGAGCTCTTTCTGCACACTCCCTCTTAGTTATGGTCTTTAATTCACTTACAATCCATATAGGCGTCGTATGTGGAGCTGCTCTAACTACTTGTTCTCATCATGTACGAGAGTTGTAAGTATCAATCACAGATGATGATGCAAGTATTGTCCTTATTGATATGTACAATAATGATGTGCAGGAAAAGGAAGTTTCCATAGCTAGGTCATCGCAAGGCCAAGCTATATGATGACCTACTTCTGTTCTCTAGCTTGCTACATAATATAATCTGGACTGGAGTGTACGTAGGACCTCCATTAGCTTGGAGCCTGGCAAGATCTCTGATGAGCACATTATATATATTGCTTATCCAGTTAATTAAACAGCTCATGATCAAACTAACACAAGTAAAACCATCTCCAGTTTTCTATTGATCGAGATGTTTAAGGAGAATGCACATACAGTTTCCGTTATAAAAATGTTGGTTTGATTTCTAGCAACATATATAGTAGGAATTATGATCTTCCAAGCCCTACGTATGTAGGCTGAAGTTTTTCTTTGTTACGCTATTTCTCGTTTTGATTATTTACAGAGAGAGATCTACAAAATTACTTAAGTATCTGTACTTATTTATAGGGTTCTTTAGATATAAGCCCATGCAATACTTATTTTCTTGACAAAAATCTATCCAGTTTTAAACATCCAAATAAAACCCAAATTTGCAATAAACTGCCATGTAAACAAATAAATACCTATTACTTTCAAAATATTTACAATTGTGCCACAACACCCTAATTATGTTGATGAATTTAATTTGGCACATAAGTGCTTTATTATTACAAAAGTATCTACTTTATACTTGTCTTACCATCATCTGTTCCATTTCTTATATTTGTTTGACAATCATTGTAGGTATGGTAAATTATTTTGCATGTATACATTAGGCACATTTTGTTATTATTATATCTGTGTGAAATAAATTACCTATATTTTTAAGTAGAATATAGGTAATTAATTAACTTTGAATCAATTGGCTAAAAACATCCTTTTATTTTGTAGGTAAACTATTTTGCATGTATTATTACATATACTAGGCACATTTTTTTATTATTATGTGTTGTTTGCAATCAATCAATATTCATTTATTCTGTAGGTAAATTATTTTACATGTATTATTACATATTTTAGGTGCGTTTTGATATTATTATTGGTAATTTTGACTAAAATAACATTTGTATGTTTGTGAAAAATACTAATTTACCTGTTACAATTATTTGAAAAGGGAAAAAAAATGCTCATTTTACATAAATGTGAAAACAACTATATAAGGAATCAAAACTCTAATATCATGTAATTTTTGTTATTAATATGCATTGGAAATCATGACACTAAAATTTTTCTTTTCCAAATCTGCATAAACGTTTTAAAACGTTTAATTGAATGAAATAATATAAAATAAATGTAGATAACAAGTAATAGACCCAAAGTCAATGATATTAGGGGTAATTTAGACGTCCAAAAATACCAATTTTGCCAAATCATACTTAATTATGGATATTGCTTAGTTGGAGCCTGGTCATTGAGTTTTTATTATAAAATTTTACAATTGTGGGTTTTAGTTAATGAAAATTGAATTCCAAGGGATATACTGCATATTTTTAGTATAGGTCAAATTAAGCACATGTATAATGCAGTATTGTAAAAGTTGAGGTTCCACTATAAAATTAAATGGTAATATAGGGAGAAGCCCAATTACTTACAAGCGCATACAAAGTCTCTTCTTTCATCAATGTGAGACTCATTTTCATTATGTATATCCCACCTATATAATATGACATCATATGCATGGAGAGTGGAGAGCGCAGGTTCATCATAATTAAGTATATGAATTAACAATAAACCACGTTGCTCGGCCTTTGTAATAATACCCTAGTTCTTCCACACCAGCAAATATTTTTATATTGATGAATCCACATGGGATAATTAACCTTATTCAATGATGCATGCATCCTACAATATTTAAACAAAAATGCATTTCTAATAATATTAGGTTTATATTATGCAGCCTCCATCTTAGACAAATTAATTTGAGTGGTGTGATTTTCTTTCCACACGAGTTCGAACTCCTTTTTCATAATTTAAACGAGTTTACATCACTTGTATATTTAAAAAACTCTAGTGTATTTATTGTCCAAATATCATGAAATTTCAGCCAACCATCAAGGGTTACTTTTAAGAAATCTGTTAAAGAGAACAAATTAAGGTGGATATATAATCATCTGAAGCAAAAAAGTAACATGAAACAAATGAGTGGAAAGTGAGCTAGCTAATGAATTAAAGGTAATTTTAGAAAGACTGGTTATTTAAATCAAATTTTGTAAACTATATGAAGTGATTGTTGATGAATGAATTATTATTTAAGTGTAATTAACGTGTTTATTTACTATTGCTGACACAATACATAATTTACCAATTGAGAATACTTAGGAAACTCTTTCAAAGTAGGACTCTCTGTGAACTCTCTATCACCTCACAGTTTAACATTAATTCTCGTGCCAATATTATCAAATATTGGGCAAAAAATATGAAGTAAAAGAGAGTCTATGACGACTCTCACTTTTGAAAATTTACTTAACATTTCTTTTAAAATTTAATCTGAAAAATTAATCAGCTTAGCATTACTTGTGAATTAATCATAAGATATAAAGTAGGTGGTCCACCACGTTAAAAGTTTTACATGAATGTCGGACCATGTTTGTTGTCCTAAATCCCGAATGTGACAGCTGCTACAATTTACACCGTCCATTGATCCTATATCAATGAATCTTACCTATATTAGTTTTTTTAACTATTTCTTATGAGAGGGAAACACAACAATTAAATATCGATTAGTCAATGATCTGTCACGTGTAAGGATTTAGCTGACATGAAGATCCGTATAGAATTCACACGCTCCACCAATAATTTGTAATTGAAAATGATAACCACGGAAAGGTTCCTTCTTATCTATTCGATCTATTATATTAAGAGAAGAGAACTTGTCAACTTTTTATCCCATTTTCGTTTAATTTTACCCTCACTTTTGAATACACAATGTTGACATAAGGAGGGCAAAATAGTAATTTTGTATTTTTTGAACTTTCCTTTCTTTTTTCTTATTTTGTCCTCACTTTTGATACACAATATTTACATAATAAGGGCAAAATAGTAATTTTATATGGAAATATTTACATAAGATAAAAAATATGCATTTATTAAGAGAAATTGTCTCACAATCACTTTTTTCATACACGTAAGTGAAATCATGATGTTTTTTGGATAGTTTAAATGAACTAAAGCCGTTGCGTTTGAGGAGAACGTGGAAGGAGATGAGCGGTTGTTCACACATACAAAGTGTGTGCTCATCTCCTAATCTCTATAAAATGAAGCTCAAACCAGCAGCTGTATTGCACCTCCCAGTTAGGTCTCTTGCTCAAAAGACCACGTTCTTCTCCCTCCCTTCTTCCGCTTTGACGTACGTATACGTTCTCCGTAGTTTTGCTAATTATTTAGTTTGATTTACGTACTTATTCCAAATCAAATATGTTTGTTGTGTTTTTTTTTTCAGATGGGATGATGACTTATGTGAGATTTTTGCAGAAAATAAAGAAATCTAGAACAAGTCAACAAATATATATGATCGAGGATCGCCTGATGTGTTGATGTGTTTTGATATGGGTGAGTGGATTCCATGCTAATGCTTGTCAAGTGAGCAGTCCCGTTGCAAATAATTTAGTTTCGTTGTCTGTTCGACCTGAAACCTAAGGTAAAGGTTAGGCATAGTACCCTTGAAAACCCTAATTAGAAAGTAATCATGTTTTTCTCTTTCTAAATTAATCAACTTGATTGATCATCTAAGAAGTTAAACAAGGCAGCTTATTAGTAGATAACTAGCTATTTATCTTGTGGCATCTTGGAGTATGACCTAGTCGATCGAGATCGACTGCAGTAACCTATAAATTTGTTGAGTTATGCATAAAACAGTCACTAAACTAGAAGGGAAAAAAAAGAGCAAAAACTCCCAAGCTAATCCAGTTTATGTATATGCATTTATCAGATTCATTTGGGAAGTGGTTTAGGTATCTTTTGGCTTTCCTTCTTTTCCTTTTGAAATATGAAGAAGAAAGAAATTGAAAGAAATAGTAATAGGCTGGCTATAAGTTGCTAAGTACCACTTTTGTGGTAATTTAACATCATAATTTTGATAATCGTTGGAATTTTACCCTAGTTTTTGCGGCTGCGGCCACCAATTTTATATTTTCAGGTGTATGTCGGTTATACTAATTGAATTGGATTTGAAACTAATCTAGTTACCAAATTAGATTAAGTTACTTACACTAAAGTAGTATTTCCTTGATTTCTAACTGTAAAATGTAATTAGCATGAGCCGTATAAGCAAGTCCTTAATTAATTAGAAAAATAATGTGGTTTAGGGTTTACCTAGTCGTGACTAGCTAGCCTGCTACCATAGAATGTTCATAGGTCGAAGAGACAGCGAGCCTGATGTATAAGCAAGAGACTGTTCATTTGACAAGGGTTTGCATGGAATTCAACATCTTGATTCTTGACTTTATGTTTGCATATGAAGTTTATTAGGAAGTGGATCAACTTTCATCAGAAAGGTGATTAAAACCAGGTAATTCACTTAGTCTCTCTTAGCCTCTAATCTAGTCAACTTTTCTTTCTTTCTTCAAATTAATATATTTGATATTCTTGACAAATTTCAACATGTGATTTGTGATGATGCATGGAGGCTCAACTCCCAGTGAAGGGACGATTGAGGATCATGATCAGTTGCTACGTAGTGGCTCGATTTGATACGAATGCCAAGATTTGGAGTGAACAGCAAAGGGTCAATGGTACACTACTATATAATTACATTGACATTATTTCCCAGCTTGCACCATATATTATTTGCATAACACGATAAATACTATGGAGTTTGTATCAGTATCTGTAAATGCCTCGGTGTAATTAGATGTGAAACAACTAAACATAAGTCATTCGATTTTGTCAATATTCTAATGTGAAATTCTTGTATTTTTATTTTGTTACCCGTATATAATATGAAATTCATAAACCTTTTTTATGCTAACCAAATTTATATGGTTTTGAAAATTAATCATAGTATTCATCAAAATTTATCATTATCTGCACATATATAATTCATTTCCCTGTATATCCTTCCGATACAAAGTAAGATTCTGAACTCTGGATTTCTATTTTAATACTTTAGTAGATAAAGTGTTGATTTTCTATCCATGTGTTCCGGGTTTGAAACTTCCTCGCTCTCCTAAATTAATGTAATAGTTTCGAACCCTCTTCATCCACTTAATAATTGTAATTTAAAAAAAAAAAAAAAAAACTCTTGATCTCTAGTCTAATTTTATCCATCTCCCTACCCATACTCACCACTGGACTGGCCGCAGTTTTAGATTCATTTGTTTCTCAAATGATCTGATTCACTTTTTATAACAAATTAGTATATTTGTTATCTGGTTTTTTTTTTTTTTTTTCGAAACACATGGATTAAAAAGGGACAATTGATGGCAAGTCACGGTTATCCATCATTTTCGGGAGTATTTGTTATCTGGTTTACCAATTAAATTATCTGATTTGAACTTTCTTTCTTTTTTGGGGGGTGAACAAAGTGAAGTGGGTTTAAACTTGGTTTCCAATCAATAAAGGTTTGTGGATGCCCCTTCATCCCCAAATATAAAAAAAACACAAGTACTCTACTTCTTCCAGCTGGTTGTTTTGCAGTAACCAATTTTCCTATTAAATTAAAGAGTCATGGTCTCTCAAATGAGAACTTGTGAAGATCAAATGCAAATTAGCCACAAAATTAGATTAGTTTATAGACTTAAAATATTTGATAACTTAATAAAACAAATCAATAAAACGAGTTTTCTAAAGGTTCATGGATTTAAATTGATTATTCTTTATTAAGTTGTCAAATACTTTAGATCTTAACCTAATACAATCTTGTGTCTAATATGCATCTCATCCTCACATATCCTCAAAATTTAAAGTCATACTTACTACAGGGAGCTGCCATTTCCATCTTCAAATGTGGTTGTGTACTTGATATGATTTTGGAGGAAAATCTTTTGCTTCAACAATATTCTATTAATGAGTTATTTTTTCACTACCATAAATTATGATGTATGCTTACTATACACCTAATCATCTATTACGTGTCTTTTCACCGAACTTTGATTAACTTTCACATTAAATGTTATCTTTTCAATTTTGAAAAAAATTAAACCAAGGTTAAGTGAAATGACATTTGAAAGATTTTTAGATATATATTGAGCATACACCATAATTTATAGTGTTGAGGAAAAATACTCTAAACGATTCATCTTTCAAGGAATTTTGCAAGATTACTTTGAGTAATGACCTAAAAGGTTATGGACTCAAATTAAACAAAGTGAATAGTGTCATATGCCGTATTAAGTTACTAAACTACTTTAAATGGTATGTCTAGTAGCGTGGGTGGGGATCGAACCACGACTTGTGAAAAGATTTTGAAAGCTATGTTTCCAAAAAAATATATAACTCGTAGTGCCATCCTAGAATGTCATTACGCTTTGTTTTGGGCCAACTATAACAATTATGTTCCTTATTTCCGGAAATTTAATTACCAAGAAACTTAAACGGTAAGATGTAAGGTTTGCGTGCACTTTTTTGATGTTCTAATGTTTGTTATGAGGGAGGGTTAGCTCTTTTTTACTCGAGCACTTGGCTGATATGGCCTATGTTATGTGAGGCTACAGAGCTATTTGCAGTTAGTTTAGTTAGTTGGTTCAAGGGAAATAACTAATTTGCGTCATCGAGTGCAGACTGCAATGCAGTTATTATGGGAAGCTATCATCTCGTGCCATGTGAAACTAAGTGTATCTTTTCATAAATGGTACCCCTTACCATCGTTGGTTGTATAAGATACGGTTGTTTCTAAGCAGCTGATCTGCTTACTTTTGTCCATATCGAAGCAAGTTAAGAGCATGATGTTAAACCATGGGCCGTTGCAACCTTAAATTTCATAGTTGACACTTTATTTCATTGTAACTCCGTATCGGCCTATCCGGAGTTTCACTCAAGCAGAGAAGAGACAATCACACTTATTGTCCATAGAATCTAGCAATCGTATGTTTTTGGTGGAGATAAGTTACGAAGATTTTGATACTAGGTCTCGGTTAGGCGGGCCACATGTGTTGTAATCTTTGCCTTATGGTTCACATTGCTAGAGTTAATTTCTGTCCACAATGTATGCTTAATAATTTATGTAATCAAGCTTGTCTTGATGAATTCATGGTTATCTCAGTAAGAAGGACTGAACATATGATCCGTTTTGTCATCTCCAGCTTCAATGTTTTCATCCCAAAGGTCTAAGCACTGATAATTTTTTCTGTTCACAGCTACAAAGGGATCACGAATTAAGAAGATGGATTAAATTTGGCTTTGTAGTAGGATGAGTCTTTTTTGGTTTTCTTTGCAGTTGTCCATTGTGCTTCAGATTATTAAGGTCCCTTTGAACTGTATTCTCGAAAAGTGATTAAGTTGTAACAAGCCGGATTTAATTGTTCGGTCTTTCAGTTTGATTCTTAATTGTCATAAGGCCCGGAGATGTAGGGTAAGTAGGCTGCAACTTGATTTTTCATTGTTTAGTACTTTCGATCATCATCTTTTACAGAAACTGAAACCGCGATGGATTGTAGAACAATTACTTGTCTTTTACTTTTCAACTCATCTCTGAGATGTGATGTTATCTTTGCACTTGAGAAGTGAGGGAAAAGAAAAAGTAGAGGCTCTGAAAGCCTTCGGAGTTTCACAAAGAGATGTGATGACCCTTCTTCCAATAGAACCTGCGGACGCACGCGTTGTCAATCCCGAGATCAGGAAGAAGATTTTTGAAAAGTTAGAGAAGATAAGGGAGCACTAAGCACTTTGGTTTGTCAAAGCCAAAAACCAATGACGGGAAAGAGGCGTATCCATCACCGCCATCGCCGGAGGAGAAAAAGCCTCAGACATTGCTACCACCTGTTGAAGTAATTCTCCCTTGAAATGAGTAATTGTCGATTCAGATAAATGGTCATCCCACTGTTGGGGTTGATCAAACTTTTTTTTGGGTTCGGACTTTTGCTCTGTTAGTTGAGAACTCTATGAACCTATGAGTAATAAACCTATGAGTGCGTGATCATTTTTGCTCCTTAGTTAACGACTTTGGACAATTCTGTTTTTAGCTATCTGCACTCCAAGTCAAAGTAATTTGGAATTTTCTTTTTCGACAAGGAGGAACGGCACTTTAAACGAATATTTTATAATTTTGCAACGCATGAGGAGCAAATGAGGTTAAAAAAGTGTGTTGAACTTGTCTAGACACTAGTGGTGGATTGTCCTGATGATTATGGTCTTCTTCAACTCATATCGACTCTAATTCAAACCATCTCTCTTCTTAGAGTAGTTTAGAGTAGAAATATCACTTGTGTTTAGCTGATTCTTTTTCTTCAACAAAATATTGTAATAATTGTTCCAATGTTGGTAAATGGCATTGTATTTTGGAAGATCAAATGTATAATAACAATAACAACGCCATATCTTACCAAGTGAAGTTAGTGGTATGAAATCCTAGACTATCATTGTACTTGGTTTTGCATAAGTATGATAAAAACTAATTTATTCTATTTCATAAAACGAGCAAACAACTTACAAGTGTTAAAATAGTAATCTGCTAAATGAAAACAAAAACAAAAACACAAAAAACATGAAAAACCCAAAAAAAAAGAAAAAAAAGCCTCCAAAAGACTAATTGGTTTTTTTTGTTCAAGTTGCCAACGAGGTGTCTCATCTGAAACCTCCAAAACAAGAAATAAGCCAAACCCAACCCGATCAAAACGATGATCCAAACACCGTCTTCCTTGCTTTCCTGAGTTTGACACGCGCACATCTAGTATTCGACCCTCGGATTCTATCGACATTTCAGAATCACACGAGCACAGCCTTTGTAATAATACCCTAGTTCCCTTCCACACCGGCAGATATTTTTATATTGATGAATCCACATGCGATAATTAACCTTATTCAATCATGTGTGCATCCTTCAATATTTAAACAAACAAATTAGTTTGAGTGGTGTGATTTTCTTTCCACACGAGTCCGAACTCCTTTTTCATAATTTGAATGAGTTTACATCACTTGTAGGCATAAAAAAATCTAGTGTATTTATTGTCCAAATATCATGAAATTTCAGCCAACCATCAAGGGTTACTTTTAAGAAATATGTTAAAAGAGAACAAATTAAGGTGGATATATAATCATCCGAGGCAAAAAAGTAACATGAAACAAATGAGTGGAAAGTGAGCTAGCTAATGAATTAAAGGTAATTTTAGAAAAATTGATTATTTAAATCAAATTTTGTAAACTATATGAAGTAATTATTGACGATTAAATTATTATCTGAGTGTGATTAACGTGTTTATTTATTATCGCTGACACAATATATAAATTATCAATTGGGAAATATTTAGAAAATTCTTTCAAAGTGTAACTCTTTATGAACTCTGTATCATCTCATAATTTAACGTTAATTTTCTTATCAATATTATCAAATATTATGCAAAAAATATGAGATAAAGAAAAGTCCATGAAAACTCTTACTTTTGAAAATCATCTTAACATTTCTTTTAAAATTTAACCTAAAAAATTAATCTATTTAGTATTACTCGAATTAATCATAAGCTATAAAGTAGATTGTCCGCCTTCAAAAATTAATCATTAGCTATAAAGTAGGTGGTCCACCACGTTAAAGGTTTTACATGAATGTCGGACTATGTACTGTCCTAAATCCCTAATGTGCCAGCTGCTGCAATTTACACCGTACTTTTATCCTATATTAATGAATCTTGCCTATAATTAATTTTTTTTTTAACTATTTCTTATGAGAGAGGGAAGCACAAACAATTAAATTATTGAAATATCGATTATCACGTGTAACGATTTAGCTGATATGAAGATCCCTATAGTATCCACCAATGATTTGTAATTGAAAATGATAATCATAGAAAGGTTCATTCTTATCTCTATAAAATGAAGCTCAAACCCAGCAGCTGTAGTACACCTCCCAGTTGGGTCTCTTGCTCAAAAGACCACGTTCTTCTCCCTCTCTTCTTTCGCTTTGACGTACGTATACGTTCTTCCGTGGTTGTGCTAATTATTTAGTTTGATTTAAGTACTTAGTCCAAATCAAATATATTTGTTGTGTTTTTGTTTTTCAGATGGGATGATAACTTGTGTGAGATTTTTGCAGAAAATAAAGAAATCTAGAACAAGTCAACAAATATATATGATCGAGGATCGCGGGTGTTGATGTGTTTTGATATGGGTGAGTGGATTCCATGCTATGCTTGTCAAGTGAGCAGTCCCTTTGCAAATAATCTTAGTTTCATTGTCTGTTCGACCTGAAACCTAAGGTAAAGGTTAGGCAGAGTACCCTTGAAAACCCTAATTAGAAAGTAATCATGTTTTTCTCTTTCTAAATTAATCAACTTGATTGATCATCTAAGAAGTTAAACAAGGCAGCTTATTAGTAGATAACTAGCTATTTATTCTGTGGCATCTTGGAGTATGACCTAGTAGTTGATCGAGATCGACTGCAGTAACCTATAAATTTATTGAGTTATGCATAAAACAGTCATTAACCTAGAAGGAAAAAAAAAAAAAAGCAAAAACTCCCAAGCTAATCCAGTTTATATATATATGCATTTATCAGATTCATATGGGAAGTGGTTTAGGTATCTTTTGGCTTTCCTTCTTTTCCCTTTGAAATATGAAGAAGAAAGAAATTGAAAGAAATAGTAATAGGCAGGCTATAAGTTGCTAAGTACCACTTTTGTGGTAATTTAACATCATAATTTTGATAATCGTTGGAATTTTACCCTAGTTTTTGCGGCTACAGCCACCAACTTTCTAAGTTTCTATTTTCAGGTGTATGTCGGTTATACTAATTAAATTGGATTTGAAACTAATCTAGTTACCAAATTAAATTAAGCTACTTACACTAAAGTAGTATTTCCTTGTAGAATGTAATTAGCATGAGCCGTATAAGCAGAGTCCTTAATTAATTAGAAAAATAATGTGGTTTAGGGTTTACCTAGTGGTGACTAGCTAGCCCGCTGCCATAGAATGTTGATAGGTCGAAGAGACAGCGAGCCTGAGGAATAAGCAAGAGACTGTTCATTTGACAAGGGTTTGCATGGAATTCAACATCTTGATTCTTGACCTTATGTTTGCATGTGAAGTTTGTTAGGAAGCGGATCAACTTTCATCAGAAAGGTGATTATGCCCAGGTAATTCACTTCGTCTCTCTTAGCCTAATCTAATCAACCTTTCTTTCTTTCTTCAAATTAATAAATTTGATGTTTCTTGACAAATTTCAACATGTGATTTGTGATGATGCATGGAGGCTCAACTCCCAGTGAAGGGACGATGGAGGATCATGATCAGCTGCTACGTAGAGGCTCAATTCGATACTAATGCCAAGATTTGGAGCGAAGCGAACAGCGAAGGGTGAACGGTTCACTACTATATAATTACATTGACATTATTTCCCAGCTTGCATTATATATTACTTGCATAACATGATAAATATTGTGGAGTTCGGATTATAAAATGTCTCGGTGTAATTAGACGTGAAACAACTAAACATAAGTCATTCGATTTTGTTAATATTCTAATGTGAAATTCTTGTATTTTTATTTTGTTACCAGTATATAATGTGAAATTCAACAACCTTTTTTATGCTAACCAATACAAAGGAAGATTTTGAATTTTGAATTTCCACTTTAATATTCTAGTGGATAAGGTGTTGAGTTTTTATCCATGTGTTCTGAGTTCGAAATTTTCTTGCTCTCCTAAATTAAGGTAATAGTTTCAAACTCTCTTCCTCCTCTTACTAATTGTAAATTATTATTATTTAAAAAAAAAACTCTAGGTCTCTTGTCTAATTTTATCCATCTCCCTACCCACACTGATCACCACTGTACTCGCCGCAGTTTTAGATTCCTTTGTTTCTCAAATGATCTGATTCGCTTTTATAACAAATTAGTAGTATTTGTTATACCAATTTAATTATCTGATTTGAACCCCTTTTTTTTTTGGGGGGGGGGGGGGGGGGGGCGCGGCGCGGGGCGGGTGGGTGGGTGGTGTGGGGTTGAACAAGGTGAAGTGGGTTTAAACTTGGTTTCCAATCAATAAAGATTTGTGGATGCCCCTACATCCCTAAAATACACAGTACTCTACTACTTCCAGCTGGTTGTTTTGCAGTAACCAATTTTCCTATTAAATTAAAGAGTCATGCTCTCTCAAATGAGAACTTGTGAAGATCAAATGCAAATTAGTCATAAGATTAGATTAGTTTATAGACTTAAAATATTTGATAACTTAATAAAACAAAACAATAAAATGAGTTTTCTAAAGGTTCATGGATTTAAGTTGATTTTTCTTTATTAAGTTGTCAAATACTTTAGATCTTAACCTAATACAATCTTGTGTCTAATATGCATTTCGTCCTCACATATCCTCAAAATTTAAAGCCATACTTACTACAGGGAGCTGCCATTTCCATCTTCAAATGTGGTTGTGTAATTGATATGATTTTGGAGGAAAATCTTTTGCTTCAACAATATTCTATTAATGAGTCATTTTTTCACTACCATAAATTATGATGTATGTTTACTATACATTTAATCATTTGCCACCTATATTTTCATCTAACTCTAGTTAACTTTCACATTAAATGTTATATTTTCAATTTGAAAAAAAAAGTTAAACCAAGATTTATAGTGTTGAGCATAACATATTTAAGTGAAATAACACATAACATATTTTTAGATGTATGATGAGCATACACCATAATTTATAGTGTTGAGGAAAATTGCTCCTAATGTCATATTAAATGATTCATCTTTCAAGGAATTTTGCAAGGATACTTTTGAGTAGTGACCTAAAAGGTGATGGGCTCAAATTAAACAAAGTGAATGGTGTCATATGCCGTATTAAGCTACTAAACTACTTGAAATGGTATTAGTAACGTGGGTGGGGATTGAACCACGATTTGAAAAAACGTTTTGAAAGCTATGTTTCCAAAATATATATATATGTCGTGGTCCCATCCAATTTATCATATACCATTTAGTCAAAAGGTGAGTGTGAAAATAGTATGAGCAGCGTTTGAATTTTTTTTTATACATTCAATAATTTCGTAAAAATATATAAAAATAAGAAAAAGATATGTAAAGAGGGAGAAGTTTAGACTTCACCCTATATTGGAGAAACTCTTAAATTTCAGTTAAAATTGACAGTTTTGGTCTCTATTTATGACATTTCAGTTAAATATCAGAGAAACTCTTATATTTTGTTTAAACTATTGTGACATTCTCTAAAGTTTATTTTTGAATTTTCATGTATGCTTAATAATTTATGTAATCAAGCTTGTCTTGATGAATTCATGGTGGTCTCAGTAAGAAGTACCGAACATATGATTTGTTTTGTCATCTCCAGCTTCAATATTTTCATCCCAAAGTCTTAAAAAAGATGAATATTAAACTGGCTAAATGGCAGAGCGGGCAGACTGAATTGGTTTCGAATAATATTCTATTGATGAACTTTACAGTAGAATATATACATCAGTCAGTCAACCAATTAACCCTACATTAATGTCCTAGAAAATCGTATCCCTCTTTTGGTGGGATTTGACATAAACCATATTAGGTAAATATATTACATGATATTTCTTAATACTCCCCTCAAGTTGGAGAGTGCATATTATGAACTCCTAACTTTGTCACTTAGTGTCGCAAATTGATCTTTTCAGAAGGCTTTTGAAAATAAATCTGCTAACTGGAAACGTGTAGGTACATGTGAGGGAATAATCATTCCAGCTTGCCGTTTTTCTCGAACGATGTGACAATCAATTTCAATATGCTTCATAAACTCGTGAAAAACAGGATTAGGTGCAATATATAAGGCAACTTGATTGTCACAAAATAATGATGTGGGAGCCTTTTGCGGAACCTTTAAATCTTGCAATAAATAGAGTAGCCAAGTTAACTCTAAATATGTGTTGGCCATAGCTCGATATCCGGCTTCTGCAGATGATCGAGAAACATTGTCTTATTTCTTGGATTTCCATGAGATGAGAGAATTTCCAAGAAAAACACAATATCCTATAACTGACCTTCTTATGGCACGACAACCTCCCCAATCGGAATCACAAAAAGCTTTTAACTCAAGATTGTCAGAGACAAGAAATAATAAACCTTGACCAAGAGTACTTTTGATGTACCTGAGAATTCGTAAAGATGCATCCCAATGAGGCTTGCGAAGCTCATGCATGACTTGACTCATTGTGCGAAATGAAAAGACTATGTCAGGCCTAGTGACAGTAAGATAAATTAATCATCCGACTTGTCTTCTGTACTTGGTGGGATCATCTAACAATGCTTCGTCAGTGGGAGTGAGTTTCAAATTTTGTTCCATTGGAAACTTGTCTGGGCATGCTCCCGTAAGTCCAGAATCCTACAAAATGTCTAGTGCATATTTTCTCTGAGACATGAAAATGCCTTTTTGAGAACGAGAAAATTCAATGCCCAAAAAATATTTCAAATCACCAAGATCTTTGATGCGGAAGCGTGTGAGAAGAAATGTTTTTTGAGGCGTTCCATTTCTTGAAGATCATTCCCTGTAAGAAGTTTGTCATCCACATAGATAAGGATTGTAGTAAACGAAGTACCTTGAGCCTTGGTAAAAAGAGAATAATCAGCTTTTGACTGTTGATAACCTGCTTTCTGAATGGTGACTGAAAAAGTCGAAAACCAGTTTCTAGAGGCCTATTTGAGTCCATATAGAGATTTGTTAAGCCGACATACAATGTTCTCCCCCTATCGGCGAAGACCAAGAAGAGGTTCTATGAAAACAACTTCATGCAAATCACCATGGAGAGAAGCATTCTAAACATCCAGTTGATGAATGAACCAATGATGTGCATTGGCAACAGCAAGGAGACAATGAAGAGTAGTGAGTTTGGCGGAAGGAGAAACGGTTTCTTAATAATCAATGCCCTCAATTTGAGTGTATCCATTTGCAACAAGACGAGCCTTGTACTGCTCAATTATGCCAGAGTTGTATCTGATTTTATAGACCCATTTGCAGCCAATTGGTTTATGTCTTACAGGTAAGGGAACCATGGTCCATGTATTGTTTTCGTGCAAAGCCATTAATTCTGCATGCATGGCATGTCGCCAATTAGGATCAAGGATAGCCTGGGCATATCAAGTAGGTTCAGTAGGACTTGTAATGTTGGCTAGAAAAGCACAATGGGCAGAAGAAATGCGTGAATAAGGAAGAAAATTAGAAAAAGGGTAACGAGTACCTGTGGAAGAACGAGACGCCGAAGGAAGGTGACTGATCTGGTTAGTCACATGATAGTCTTTATTGCATATAGGGGGTTGCTTAGGACAGAAAGATTGACGTGGGAGGGGTGGAGAGGGTGACTAAGCGGACGTGACATCTAGTGGATGAGAGATGGTAAATGATAGAGCAGACATGTCAGTGGATGGTGAGGTAGGAGAGGTAGGCATGGCAGTGGGTAAGGAAGTTGATGAAAGCATGTCAGGAAAAGTAAGATGAGGTGGTGGGAGCATGTCAGGGGGGGTAGGAGTAGGTGGTGGGGTACGAGGGTTAGATAGGTTTGAGGGTGATGGATGAGAGGTTTGATAAGCTGGCGGTGTGAGTGTGGTGTCAGCAAGACTAAGCAGGTAAGGGGTATGAGGGGCCTGCTATCATGTATGGGAAGGGTATGGGTTAGAGGAATGAAGGTAGAGACTGGAAAGGGAAGGTATTTTCAGTAAATTTAACATCACAGTTGACAAAGAATTTTTTTAGTTTCCAAATCATATAGTTTATAACCCCTTTGATCAATGGGTATCCAACAAAGACATAGCGTTTAGCATGAGGGTCGTATTTATGAGTAGGGTGAACAGCAGTAGCAAAACACAAACAACCAAAAACTTTCAAGTGGTCAAAAGATGGCGGACGTTTATATAATAACTCAAAAGGAGATTTGTTAGATAACAAAAGAGATGGTAATCGATTAATGAGATAGACAGCAGTGGATACACACTCACCCCAAAATGAAAGGGGTACCTGAGATTGGAAGTGTAAGCTACATGCAACAGTGAGAATGTGACAATGTTTACGTTCGACAACACCATTTTGTTGTGGAGTGTAGACACATGTGTGTTGATATTCAATGCCATTGGTTTGAAAAAAATCTTGGGAGTTTTGACGAAATGTCTATGGTACTATTCACTTTAACGAAAAACCACATTTTTACACTAAAAAGTCAAACCTGATACTATTCACTTTACCCTTTATTTTGTGTTTATCGTTAAAACTCAAAATTTTCAAGTCATTTTCATTAGCTTTCCTAAAAATCTTTCATGGACAAAAACTCAGACCCATTGTCAACCCTTACTGCTTTTATTTTTGCATGAAATTGTATATGAGCAAAAGTAACAAAAGATTTTAAAAGGTGTTGAGTTTCAGATTTATATTGCATCAAAAAAATTAATATGCACCTAGAAAAATCATTGACAATGGTAAGAAAGAATTGAGCCCCCGAATGTGTGGGAATTTTATGAGGACCCCATATATCACAATGTAATAAATC